CCGACGGGATCACCATCTATCCTTGGAAGAATGGCAAGCTCTTAGCATGGGACTATACCTGTGTGTCCACACTGGCTGACACCTATATCCATCACAGTGTGGGGCGACAGGGAGGAGCTGCTGACCACAGGGAGGAGTACAAGATCAGCAAGTACAGGGACATTAGCCAACAGTATCAATTTGTCCCAGTGGGATCAGAGACCTTGGGATCATGGGGAAAAAATGCCACACGTTTCCTTAAAGAATTGGGTTCCAGACTCATCGACACCACCAGGGACCCAAGGGCAGCCACTTTCATGTTCCAGCGCCTCAGCATAGCCATCCAGAGGGGAAATGCTTGCTGCATACTTGGCTCACGTCCAGCCTCGGAGGAGCTGGAGGAAATTCATGATCTTTGATACATTGTGCCATTGTATTCATGTTTATGTTTTTTTCTGTAAATGTATTTTGTTTATTAATAAATATTCACATAGAATATAAAATATATAGGGGGTGGTAGGAGAAGAAAATATTCAAACAGCTCCGGGGAGAACCTTGAGTTTTTCCTGAGGTACGTTTATTGTCTTCTCTGAGGATGAGGGTCCCCAGTCCAGCTATAGAGGTGGAACTTCCTTATATTTTATATATATATATATATATATATATTTATATATATATTATATATATATATATATACAAACACTGATCTCTGGCTGAAGGAGACTCGAACCTACGAACCTTAGGACAAGGTACGCAGTGCTTTACCAATCTACCCACACTGGACAATACCTTGGCGTGTAGCTTGCGCTACACGTTTGATGATGTTTGTGTATATTTCGCCTGCTCTCGCGAATTCCTTGCATATATATATATATATATTATATATATATATATATATATATATATATATATATATATATATATATATATATATATTATATATATATTGAACAGTCTGCTTTTCCTTGAATGAAAAAGATTTAACTAGCGGAGGCTTTGTTCCTTTAGTGTATATAAATAAACTACGTGTATACGTTGGTTGGTGGCAGGAGGTTGGCATGCAGACGGAGCCGGCCCCCAGCACCACCTTCAGGGCCAACGTTGGCTTCTTCGAGATTCACGATGCTTACCGTCAGCACCAGCAGGAGGTGCTCACCCTCAGGAACCTAAAGAAGGTCCAGCAAGGAAAGATAAACAAGGATGCTAAGGGAGGCAAGCAGGTGAGTCTCGTGAAGGGTGTTGAGTTATAGCTCCTGGTCCCTCCAGGAGTAGGGGAGACTTCTGAAAGTAATATATCACAGGGGTGATGCAGGGTGTTAAAAATTATATCAACAAATGCAAAATAATTCCTTATTTGGTTGAGACGACACTTCATGTTGGTTTGTGGCGCTGTTGCAGTGTGACTCCGTAGCGCAGAGGCAGAAGCGGGAGGGTGAGCTGAGCAGACAGCCGGTGGTCTGCTCCAGGGACAGGAGTGACTGCAGCCTGGCTGGCCTGCTGCCCCTGCTGCAGGTGCTGGAGCGCATGGTCAGTCAGAACCTCTATCAGGACGTTATCCAAGGTGAAACGTTATATGTTACCTTATGTTTACTGCTCTCCTCATAACGACATGTCAGAGCTGCAGGCGCTCTGCTCACACTGACATGTCACACTGACATGACAGGTCTGACATGTTAAACCTCCACATGTCCTGACAATATGTTACTCCTGCAGATGATCACGTCACACTAATATGTCAATAAGATCTGTTAGAACCCTGGTGGCTGACTGGTGCAGCGCTGGGTCTGCTACTCGCCTGCACCACGGTCCGAATCCCCGTCCAATCATCTGTTTGTTTACTGCATACTCATCTTCTAGGAATTTAAGTTTGAATTGTTAGTGTTCCAAAGTTTGCGAATTTGGTGAATATTTCCTTGAATTCATTAAAGTCTTAATTCCCTTTTCGTAAGTATCCTTTTAGTCAATTTTTACAGCCATGCAAGTTATTGTGACTTGCATTGTTCGTGTACTAAATGCCGCTGTTGTTGTTGCTGTTGCTGGAGGCAGATTTGCACTACTGGGAGGACAGCAGTGATGAGTACAGAGTACTGGAGGGTTCACTGCTGCCACTCTGGAGGTTCAGCTACTCCAGGACTCGCACTCTTCACGTCTCTGATGTCTGCTGGAGTCCTGTCTACCCTGACCTGTTCGCTGCGGCCTACACTAACGGTGAGAGAGGAGAAAGGAAGATAAGTACGAGAGAAAAAAGTGAGAGGTGGGGGGGAAGGGAAGCAAAGAGAGGAAGGGGTAGCAAGGATGAAAAGACACGATAAGAAAGGTGGATGCAAAGAGGAACGAGAAGAATGAAAAGGGAAGGGGCAAACCAGGCGTAGGTCGAGAGGGAATAACCAAAGAAGGAGCAGGAAGGTAGGTAAGTCAGGGTCAAGCAAGGGGAAGCAGGGCGGAAAGGCGAGGGGTAAACAAGACGAAGGAGGAGGAAGGGTGGGGCAAGAAGGGAGAGATAAGGAACACTAAGAGTTAGGAAGGAAGGAAGACAGAAAGATACACGGGAGGTTTTAGTTTAGGACTAACAATTAATCTTCTTTACGTTAAACACAGATGTATACAAACGCTTCAACAGTGAGTATTTACAATGTATTAAGCACACTGCACAGATAACCCGCACACAGAATAGAGAGAAGCTTATAAGTAAGTAAGCTTATTCAGGTATACACAAATACAGTTACATAGATTATCATACATAGCAGCATGTGTGTAGACAACCTGGGATAACCCAAAAAAGTCAGTCAAAGTGATTTATTTCCATTGGTGTCCTCTTAGAAGACATTTCGGTCCGACTTTGGACCATTTACAAGTCACAATGTGACTTGTAAATGGTCCAAGTCACGGTATTGTGCCTTTTTGTCCTTTAAGCTCAACATTATTGTAGAAAAACAGGAGTAACGAGTGTACCTGGTGTTGCAGGCAGCCAGGGTGTATCATCACTTGACTGACGAGTGTACCTGGTGTTGCAGGCAGCCAGGGTGTGTCATCACTTGACTGACGAGTGTACCTGGTGTTGCAGGCAGCCAGGGTGTATCATCACTTGACTGACGAGTATACCTGGTGTTGCAGGCAGCCAGGGTGTATCATCACTTGACTGACGAGTATACCTGGTGTTGCAGGCAGCCAGGGTGTATCATCACTTGACTGACGAGTATACCTGGTGTTGCAGGCAGCCAGGGTGTATCATCACTTGACTGACGAGTATACCTGGTGTTGCAGGCAGCCAGGGTGTATCATCACTTGACTGACGAGTATACCTGGTGTTGCAGGCAGCCAGGGTGTATCATCACTTGACTGACGGTGTACCTGGTGTTGCAGGCAGCCAGGGTGTGTCATCACTTGACTGACGAGTGTACCTGGTGTTGCAGGCAGCCAGGGTGTGTCATCACTTGACTGACGAGTATACCTGGTGTTGCAGGCAGCCAGGGTGTATCATCACTTGACTGACGAGTATACCTGGTGTTGCAGGCAGCCAGGGTGTATCATCACTTGACTGACGAGTGTACCTGGTGTTGCAGGCAGCCAGGGTGTGTCATCACTTGACTGACGAGTGTACCTGGTGTTGCAGGCAGCCAGGGTGTATCATCACTTGACTGACGAGTATACCTGGTGTTGCAGGCAGCCAGGGTGTATCATCACTTGACTGACGAGTATACCTGGTGTTGCAGGCAGCCAGGGTGTGTATCATCACTTGACTGACGAGTGTACCTGGTGTTGCAGGCAGCCAGGGTGTGTCATCACTTGACTGACGAGTGTACCTGGTGTTGCAGGCAGCCAGGGTGTGTCATCACTTGACTGACGAGTGTACCTGGTGTTGCAGGCAGCCAGGGATGTGTCATCACTTGACTGACGAGTGTACCTGGTGTTGCAGGCAGCCAGGGTGTGTCATCACTTGACTGACGAGTGTACCTGGTGTTGCAGGCAGCCAGGGTTGTATCATCACTTGACTGACGAGTGTACCTGGTGTTGCAGGCAGCCAGGGTGTGTCATCACTTGACTGACGAGTATACCTGGTGTGTGCAGGCAGCCAGGGTGTGTCATCACTTGACTGACGAGTGTACCTGGTGTTGCAGGCAGCCAGGGTGTGTCATCACTTGACTGACGAGTGTACCTGGTGTTGCAGGCAGCCAGGGTGTGGTCATCACTTGACTGACGAGTGTACCTGGTGTTGCAGGCAGCCAGGGTGTATCATCACTTGACTGACGAGTGTACCTGGTGTTGCAGGCAGCCAGGGTGTGTCATCACTTGACTGACGAGTTACTGGTGTTGCAGGCAGCCAGGGGTGTCATCACTTGACTGACGAGTGTACCTGGTGTTGCAGGCAGCCAGGGTGTGTCATCACTTGACTGACGAGTATACCTGGTGTTGCAGGCAGCCAGGGTGTGTCATCACTTGACTGACGAGTGTACTGGTGTTGCAGGCAGCCAGGGTGTGTCATCACTTGACTGACGAGTGTACCTGGTGTTGCAGGCAGCCAGGGTGTATCATCACTTGACTGACGAGTGTACCTGGTGTTGCAGGCAGCCAGGGTGTGTCATCACTTGACTGACGAGTGTACCTGGTGTTGCAGGCAGCCAGGGTGTGTCATCACTTGACTGACGAGTTATCCTGGTGTTGCAGGCAGCCAGGGTGTGTCATCACTTGACTGACGAGTGTACCTGGTGTTGCAGGCAGCCAGGGTGTGTCATCACTTGACTGACGAGTGTACCTGGTGTTGCAGGCAGCCAGGGTGTGTCATCACTTGACTGACGAGTGTACCTGGTGTTGCAGGCAGCCAGGGGTGTGTCATCACTTGACTGACGAGTATACCTGGTGTTGCAGGCAGCCAGGGTGTGTCATCACTTGACTGACGAGTGTACCTGGTGTTGCAGGCAGCCAGGGTGTGTCATCACTTGACTGACGAGTGTACTGGTGTTGCAGGCAGCCAGGGTTGTGTCATCACTTGACTGACGAGTGTACCTGGTGTTGCAGGCAGCCAGGGTGTGTCATCACTTGACTGACGAGTATACCTGGTGTTGCAGGCAGCCAGGGTGTAGAGCTGACGGGAGGTATACTCTGCTTGTACACTCTCAAGAACCCCAGCTTCCCTGAGCGTATCCTGTACACACCCTCTGCTGTCACCTCAGTACACTTCCACCCTTCAGTAAGTATTACCACACCCCCTCCCCCACCCCCCACCTCTCCCCCACCCCTCCCCACCCCTCCCCCTCCCCCCCACCCTCCCCCCACCCCCCTCCCCCTCCTCCCCACCCCTGTCCCCTTCTCACCCTACAGTAATTCATTGTCAGTCATTACTATATTTGTGGTTGCAGGGGTCGAGTCTTAGCTCCTGGCCCCGTGTGTGTGTGCGTGTGTGTGTGTGTATAATAGTGACCAAGTGGTGTTTTTCCAGAGGACGAGTGTGGTGGTGTGTGGGATGACTGACGGGGTCGTCATGTCCGTGGACGTACGACTCCCGCACGACCTACGCGTCATCACCTCCGACGCCACGGCTGGCAAGCACCTGCTGCCAGTGTCTCAGGTAACTACCAGTCATCTCTACACCTAATCCCTCCTTTAGGTTCTCTTCCTGCCCTTCCAGTCCGACATTCTGCTAGCACCAACAGCCTGGTTAACCAGGTCGCCAACCAGGAAACCCTCGGGAAAAAAAAAGAGTGCGTGTATGGCAATTTTCTTATTTTGTTTTTGTTTTTGATTTATTTGAAGCGCTAAATATGTATGGGTTAGTTGTTAGAGAATCACACCACTGAGCAACGGGTCACCTTCCATAGGTAGTGATTTCTGATTTTCAATAATAGTAATAATAATAATAATGATAATACTAATAATAATAATAATTATAATAATAATAATTATAATAGCAATAATAATAATAATAATAATTAATAATAATAATAATAATAATAATAATAATAATCTTGTGATTCACTAGCAGAGCATAATCTGGCAACTTTCGTCTTGTCTCCTTAAACGTAGGCCTTAAAGTGTAGGCCTATGCAGAATCCAGTCCTTTATAAATATGCTTAGCTTGATGCAAGCACACACACATTGCCAGGAGCTATGAATCGACCCCTGCAATCACATTTAGGTGAGTACACAATCTGAAACAATCTGGAGAGTGATGTAGTTGAGGCAGGATCCATACACAGCTTGAAGAAGAGATATGGTAACGCTCATGGAGCAGGGAGAGAGAGAGAGAGGGCCTAATAGCAACCAGCGAAGAGGCGGGGCCCAGGAGCTGTGACTCAACTCTTGCAACCACAAATAGGTGAGTACACACACACACACACACAAGTGGTTTTTATGCTTTTTATCTATAAAAGTCAGCCAACAGGTGTCCGTGGCACGTGTCCGTGGACGCGTGTCCGTGGACGCGTGTCCGTGGACGCGTGTCCGTGGACGTGTGTCCGTGGACGCGTGTCCGTGGACACGGTGTTGTATACCCACCACTGGACAGATCATCTTGCGATAAACACCCATTATTATTATAATCATGGGGGAGCGTTAAACCCGTGGGGGGGGGGAGGATGGAAGGTATTCAGATTCGATTCAGGGAACCGGAGCACAGATCCAATTCCCTAGATCAAGAGCCCCTCACCAGCATGAAGGAACCTCCCTTGAGGGGTATAAACACCCAGTTACGTAACGTAACTGGTTCATTACCACTAAGACCCAGTCCTGGGATCCATTATGTACCACAGTAATCTTTTCAGTGTGAGGCGACTACCACCCACAGGGTGGATGTGAGGCAACTACCATCCACAGGGTGGATGTGAGGCAACTACCACCCACAGGGTGGATGTGAGGCAACTACCATCCACAGGGTGGATGTGAGGCAACTACCACCCACAGGGTGGATGTGAGGCAACTACCACCCACAGGGTGGATGTGAGGCAACTACCACCCACAGGGTGGATGTGAGGCGACTACCACCCACAGGGTGGATGTGAGGCGACTACCATCCACAGGGTGGATGTGAGGCAACTACCACCCACATTGTGGATGTGAGGCGACTACCACCCACAGGGTGGATGTGAGGCGACTACCACCCACAGGGTGGATGTGAGGCAATTACCACCCACAGGGTGGATGTGAGGCAACTACCACCCACAGGGTGGATGTGAGGCAACTACCACCCACAGGGTGGATGTGAGGCGACTACCACCCACAGGGTGGATGTGAGGCAACTACCACCCACAGGGTGGATGTGAGGCAACTACCACCCACAGGGTGGATGTGAGGCAACTACCACCCACAGGGTGGATGTGAGGCGACTACCACCCACAGGGTGGATGTGAGGCAACTACCACCCACAGGGTGGATGTGAGGCAACTACCACCACAGGGTGGATGTGAGGCAACTACCACCCACAGGGTGGATGTGAGGCGACTACCACCCACAGGGTGGATGTGAGGCAACTACCACCACAGGGTGGATGTGAGGCAACTACCTCCACGGGTGGATGTGAAGCGAACTACCACCCACAGGGTGGATGTGAGGCAACTACCACCCACAGGGTGGATGTGAGGCAACTACCACCCAAGGGTGGATGTGAGGCAACTACCACCCACAGGGTAGATGTGAGGCAACTACCATCCACAGGGTGGATGTGAGGCGACTACCACCCACAGGGTGGATGTGAGGCAACTACCACCCACAGGGTGGATGTGAGGCAACTTACCATCCACAGGGTGGATGTGAGGCGAACTACCATCCACAGGGTGGATGTGAGGCGACTACCATCCACAGGGTGGATGTGAGGCGACTACCATCCACAGGGTGGATGTGAGGCGACTACCATCCACAGGGTGGTGTGAGGCGACTACCATCCACAGGGTGGATGTGAGGCAACTACCATCCACAGGGTGGATGTGAGGCGACTACCATCCACAGGGTGGATGTGAGGCGACTACCATCCACAGGGTGGATGTGAGGCGACTACCACTCCACAGGGTGGATGTGAGGCGACTACCATCCACAGGGTGGATGTGAGGCGACTACCATCCACAGGGTGGATGTGAGGCAACTACCACCCACAGGGTGGATGTGAGGCAACTACCACCCACAGGGTGGATGTGAGGCAACTACCATCCACAGGGTGGATGTGAGGCAACTACCACCCACAGGGTGGATGTGAGGCAACTACCACCCACAGGGTGGATGAGGCAACTACCACCCACAGGGTGGATGTGAGGCAACTACCATCCACAGGGTGGATGTGAGGCAACTACCACCCACAGGGTGGATGTGAGGCAACTACCATCCACAGGGTGGATGTGAGGCAACTACCACCCACAGGGTGGATGTGAGGCGACTACCATCCACAGGGTGGATGTGAGGCGACTACCATCCACAGGGTGGATGTGAGGGCGACTACCACCCACAGGTGGATGTGAGGCGACTACCATCCACAGGGTGTGGATGTGAGGCGACTACCATCCACAGGGTGGATGTGAGGCAACTACCACCCACAGGGTGGATGTGAGGCAACTACCACCCACAGGGTGGATGTGAAGTGCACTATTTAAACTATCTAAAGGGTGCTATGTCTGTAGGTGAGGTGGGTGCCAACGGAGGTAGGTCAGCCGCTGTGCTTCTACTCTGTGTCTGCTGACGGACGAGTGTCAGAGTGGGGAGTGTTGTCTACCAGCCTCTACCACACAGACATTCTGGACTTCCACTATCGTCCTTACCGCACTAAACACTCCACCACCAGCCTCCATGGTCAGTAACACCAACTCATTAAGTTTATGTCAAGCTCTTTAGACAGTAAGATAATTATATTCTAATATTTACAACAATGCACCACGCAGAAACAGACGGGTATATACAAAGATCGTAGTCAGCAGGACATGAACCCACTACATATATGTGTGTGTGCGCATGTGTGCAAATACATTAATATATTCTTGCAACACCTGTCAACAGGCACAGCCACATGCATAGCCTTCAACCCACAAGACAAGAGCGTGATGGTAGTGGGCGTGGACACGGGGTCAGTGTTGCAGGTGAACACGGCGTCCACCGTGCACGCCCTCACCCACTACCACGCCCACACTGGCCCGGTGAGAGCAGTAGCCTGGAACACCTACCACCACAAGGTGTTCGCTACCTGCTCCCTCGACTGGTCACTTAAGGTGTGGCTACAGTACCACACGTGAGTCTTACATTCATACATAAAAACCCATAAGATTAAGACCAATTTGACAACCAGTGGGACACAGAAGCAACCAAGGAGACATTACGGTTATTTTTGGTTCCTGGAGAGCGAAACGTAGCTGTAATATATGTCTCATTAATTGGTCTTGTGTCCGTTTATCCAAAATCACTTCATATAATCATGCAAATCCTGTCTTCTACATTTTTAGCGAGTTTGAAAATGTATGTTCAACATATCTATGTACTCGTATAGCATCGTCAGACAGAGGGCTGCCCGTCTGTTTTTCTTAAATTCGTTATTATCGGGTAATTAAACGAAAATTTGAGTTAGCATATACTGAAATAAATTGATATATCTGTATATACATTTCCATGAAAATTTCGAGCGCGCAGGAATGCACGGAGATGCAACTCTTGGCATACTAACTGCCTTGTTTTGGATAATAAATACATAAGATCTGTAATGTTTCCGGCCTCAGAGGCCTCTTCTGTGGATGACCCTCATCACCTGATCAGTCACTGATTGAGCTTTAAATGTTATTAGATTCGTGGATGGGAGCGTTAAACTGCTGTTCTCTAACCAAATCATCGCCTCAGGTCACCTCTGGTGAGCCTTGACTTAGGTGCCCCGGTGGCTGGCCTGGCCTGGTCGTACTTCAGCAGCAGTGTTATTGTTGGGGTGACGGACGAGGGTCGTGTCTACGTGTACGACCTCTTCGTCCGCAAATGTCGCCCTCTGTGTGTGCAGAATATTCTGCAAAGACGTCGTTCTGCTCTCTCCTGCGTCGCCTTCAGTCCCTTCTACCCCGTCATTCTGGTGGGTGGAGAGAGGTGAGTCCTAGTGAGTAAGAGAGGTGTGGTGGGTAAGAGAGAGTTGAATCTGAGTGTAGGGTAAGCTGTTATGTATTATTATGTTTAGCAGGTGAGCTGTATATTCATATTTCGGGGTTTTAACTCACTACTTTCTCTGTCAGAGGATACCTTCTGACGCTGAAGTTGTCGCCCAACCTGAGGAGAAACCACAAGACCAGAGATGAACTGAGCCCGAGGGAGGCAGAGGTGTGTAAGATGGAGCGTATCATCGCAACCACCAGGAGCAAACTCAAGTAGGGGCACACACTACTGAGAGCAAGTGCTCTGAGAGTTACAGAACTCTGGCACTGGCACTGGCACTGACCTGCACTTCATGGTAATCTTGTCTGACAGAAAAAAAATATTATGACACGCTCGACATAAGCGCCAAATTTGGTACAGACTTTTCTTTGGACATAAAATCATTGAAGAGCGGATAACCCATTAATTCCTCATGGCTTTTTTAATTTTTGAATGGCCGCTAAAAAGACATAAATAATACACTTTTGCTGGGGTCCAGTCCCTGGACCCATTATGTACCAAACTAATAAAAAAAGCCAAACAACTGTACTACTCCAGCAGATTCACTGACACAAGAGGAGATATAAAAAAACCTGGAAAACACTTTCCCAGATTCTGGGGACCCACAAACTAAAAAAACCTAAGAATATTGTTCTAACTAAACCTCATGAAACACCACTGCATCCACTGATACAGCTAACAAGATAAACGACTTCTTCTCAAACATAGGATCTAATCTCGCCAGTAAAATCCCACGTACCAATGCTCGTGCCGGGGACTACCTAGATGGGAATTTCCCAAATTCCTTCTATCTTGTACCAACTGAGCCCACGGAAGTCACCGCAATCATAAAGTCACTTTAAAATAACTCGGGAATCTGTCTCACGTCCCACAATTATTGTACAAGCGAGCGGTCCTTGGTCCTTTAGATGCTAATAACATTACTTTTTAACAAGTCACTAGAAAACTGCACTTTCCCCCGACACTACTTAAGACAGCAAGGTTAACACCAATACATAAAGGTGGTGACCCTACAGGACGTTAAACAACTATAGCCAATACAAACTTACTATTGCAATCCAAAATCTTCCAAGAAACTCGTGCACAGGAGACTATATATTCATTTATAACGTCACAAAAACATACTCATCCCCTGTCAATTTGGATTCAGTAAAAATTATAAAGCAGCTAAGGATGCAAATATAATAATCTAGACCTGCTTTAACAAATCACAGCAATGGAAAATAAGTGAATATCCGCTAGGAATTTTTAAGACCTAAGAAAAGCGTTGACACAGTAGACCCACGGCATCCAACTCCACAAACTTTTACCACTAGGTATAAGAGCCCATGCACTTGCATATTTTAAATCAACCTGTTCTATAGGTATCATTAAGTCACCATTAAAGACACAGCCTCGTCGAAAAAAAGAAAACCAATACCCACTTGATACTGGAGTTCGCGCAGGGAAGTGTCCTTGGACCCTGCTCTTCCCTTTTAACATCAATCATCTTCCCAAAACACATGCCCAACGCCTGAAACCCATTCTCTTTGCTGACGAGCCCAACGACTTATGTTATTCATATCCCACCCTAATCTTGCACCCTCAACACCAAATGGTTAACGAGAGCTGCTCAAAATATCCGACTTGGACTGACAGCGCAAAAGCTTCCACTTAACACTGGCAAAACCTACTATAATAGTTATGGTAGCAGAGCAGTGTTGCGCAACTTAACATTAAGAACGTCACAACTCTAATTTCCAAGACATAATGAGGGCAAATTCCTTGCCTAACACCTTTGACAAACAACCTAAATTTTCAACACCCATATCCACACATAAAAAAAGTATCCAAACGGTGGGTATCCTTCTCCCAAGAAACGATACTACGTACCGCAAGACTGCCCTTCTTCACACTGTAACCATTTCACTTATTAACCCATACCTCACCTATGCTATCTGTGCTTGGGTTCAACTGCAGCAACCACACCTAAAGCCAATAATAACCCAACAAAAAGCCGCAATAAGAATAATCACTAAAATCCCATCCCTGGCAACAACACCCCCCCCCACTCTTCATAGATCTAAACTAACTCCCTGTTTCAAGAACATCCACACTTACTCGTGTAATCTATATCTACAGGACTCTTAAATTCCAATATTAACCTTGACCTAAAAAACGCTTTTTCCCCGTGTTTCGAACTAAACCATTACAACAAATTCAATGTATTTCAAAGGACCCTAAAATCTGGAAACACCCTACCTGAAAACCTAGAACTGCAGACACATTCATCAATTCTTCAAAACTACAAGTTAAAAAACATCCTATCTCCCTGATACAACCCAACAACCAACTACATGATGAACTCCACCTGGAGGTTTCACAATAACACTCACTCACCCACTTGACATAAACCCAGAAATACTAATCTTAAACTTAAAATAATAAATCCAAACAAGTCCATAAGTTTTATCCTATATGATACTCCAATATAGACACCTTGTATTGTGCCAAAACAAAAGCATCACATTGCTAAACTCACAAATATATTATGTAGTTCACTTAGCCATAATACCATAATCTGTAAGGAATTTAAATGTTAAGAATAATCTAAGTCTGCTCGAAAATGCCTAGCCATGCTAGGTGTTCCTAGTGGCCCCCTCTGTAATAGTATATTAAAAACATGTAAACCACTCAATTAACCCAAAACCTGTAAAACCCCAACATTGTAACCTCTATAGAGAATAAACTTGAATGAGTAGAATTAAACTGAATTTGAATTGGAATTGACTACCAGACCACAGATGGTAATGGGGTGTATAATAAAGATATTTAACTAAATTAAACTAAACTTCAGGAAACGTTAAATTGACAAATTTAGTGTACAAGTGTTGAGGTTAATAAAATGACTTTCAGAGGTTTAAAAACACGATGTTTTTCATTTCCCTTGAGCTTTATTGCTTATACATCAACATTATGCACAAAAATCTGCGAGAAGCGACTGCATTTTCTGTAAGTCCAACTAACTCCCTTGATTATTTAACGTCACTGTTTTGCTCGTGGCCGTAGTCTGCTGACGTCTATGAGAACATCTTCCTGAGAGATGAACCATGATTAGTGCATCTAAGCAGTCCGCATACAGAATGAATTCGATGTATATGAAAGAGTATCAAGACTAACCTGTCATATTGCAGAATGTCTCTCCCAAACCGAAATGTGGAATTCCTTTTTCACCGTGTCTGCCTTCCATATTCCAAATAAAACCACCACTGATTGGATCTGTGTGGCGATGCCAGGCATCCTCGAGAAGCAATGTGACTGGCTGACTGTGCCACTTCAAGAGGATGCCACAACTGCTTCACACAGTGCAATGGTCCACCGAAGCATCTAGCACATTTCTAACGGTGTTCCACAGTTCCATTTCAGTGGAAAGACCTCCAAAATTCATAACAAAATGTTTCTCTTCAAAGATCTTTGGAAAGTACCATTGGACAAATTTGATAAATTCGAAGAGAGATTGATCAAAGGCCATCACAGGGAGGGCAGCCTGAGGAATACACTTGGTAGGCATACTCAAGCTTAGATCTAATCAAAGAGGCACACGGACGGTGCAAGTTTCATTTGATCAGCACCCTGGGAGAGGGGAGACAAGGCCTTAAAATGTTTCAAAGATGGGCATATCTGTTTTAAATTTCTGAAAATATGGGCCCCCATGTCAACATCACCACCCGGCGCTTAGGTTTAGGTTAATAAGGCAGCAGTCCTGGTGGCTAGGTTATCAAAGTAGCAGGTTTGGAGTACACCTAGAGCCATCTAGCACATCAAGCCTGGGTTACTAGCCTTCCTGGTCATTAAGTCTTATCACTAGGCCTGGTTTCTAGGTTGTCAAGCAGTTTGCTTGGCTACTGGGTTATTACGCTAGTATGCCTAGTTACTAATTATTATGTCTGCAGTCTTAGTCTTTGCTGTCTGAAGCTAGCAAGCCTAATCACTAGGTTATCAACTTAGCCTTCATGTTTACTTTCAAGAACCCCAGTACTTTTCTAACCTAGCTTCAGGCTATTCAGAACAAGTATTGAGGAAAGAGAGTCAGTTACAGTTACACTGTGTGGTCGTAGTTTCCATAAACTTGAGAGTAACGAGTACAGTATAGGTGGAAACAATGGGGATGTGTTTCTACAAGACACCTGCTGTCCCTGTTCACCTAGCAGTAAATAGGTACTTGGGTGTTAGTAGACTGGTGTGGATCGCATCCTGGGGATAAAAATTAGTAAATAAGTAAGTTTATTCAGGTACAGGTACACATAAATTCAGTTACATAAAGCTTAATTTATAGCAGTGCATGTGTAAATTAACTAGGATAATCGCAGACAGTCAAAGTGACTTATTTCCTAATTTGCCCAAAATACTCTGCATAACAAGGGGCTTTCTGTATGGCATGTCACTGATGTCAGCTATGGTTTGTATAAGTTATATCATGTACTTGTAGAAATAAAGATTTTTATTATTATTGATGGACTAAATTAAGGTACCAATTAGTGGGCTCCCCGAGCACCGGGAAGCAGGGTTCAATACGGCGTCACCTCTGGTGGCCCTATACAACCCAAATAGAAACAACAAGGTTGGTATAAGTATTTGAGATTAAGTAAGATTGTTTATAAACTGCCCAATGTGTCCTCAAACCCTTGAGCCGGTGAAGGCACTTGATCCATGGAGGTGGAGCTAACTAACCTATTACTTGGATCGAACCTGAATGCCTCTCATCATTTTTCAGTCGTGCTTCCATAGTAAAGTGGCCACAAACTTTGTTTGCTTGTTTTAAACTCTCCAGTTTGTTACCTGGAAGCTTTAAGTATACAAATATCAAACTGTCAATGTTGCCTAGTTGTTGCCTCTCGTTTAGCTTGTTTGAACTGCCCAATAGTCTCTTGTTAAGGTCTGTTATAGGGTTTGTATTAACTGCCCAACTGTTGTCCTTACTTTTGCTAGGATCTAATTTTAACCAGCCCAATTCTTGCCTACTTGTTTAGGTATGTTTTAACTGCTTATTTGTTGCCTCTTGTAGCATCTTTTTATCTGTCTGGTTGTTTGCCTCCCGTTTTAGTGTTTTAACTGCCCAAGTTTTATTTCACAAATCAATTTTAATAGGCTAATAACAATAATAATAATAATAATAATAATAAAATAAAATAATAATGCCAGTTTATCGCTATATAGTAGCCCTTGTGGTTTAGCGCTTCTTTTGATAATAATAATAAAAATAATAATAATAATAATAATTATAAAAATAATAATAATAATGAAGATGCAATAATTATACATTATTTAGGATTGATACAAAAGAACATTAAATACGGGCTTTGTATGTAAGTTTATATAGTAATGCACTATTATTGGGTATGTTAAAGAAGCTCTGACACTGTAACTAATAATATTTTTGTTTTTTCCAGAATGTTACACAAAATGTTTGCTTGTGAAGTACATTACACTGTACAAACTTACGTTATGAAGTTTAATGACCAATTTACCCAGAAGTTTTTGGAAGAAGAGAGAATGATTCAATTAAAAAAAGTTTCGCCTAAAAAGAGTGCCGCAATCCAAAAAGAAGAAAGCCCCAAAATGGATCTACATCCAGTAAGTGCTTAAGGTGGCCGTTTACACCAATGGCAGCACTACAAGTTAGTTTACTCATTGAAAAATATGATTTGTGATGGCGGAAGTGTTAATTTTTGCTTATGTAGGAAATATATTTAGCCATTGTTTAAACAAAACACTTTCAAAAATTGAAAATAGTTCCATTATTTTGTACTGTACTGAGTATGTTTGCCATATTGACCATAAATTTGTGACATTATCTCTATTTCTTTACACAGATTTATCTTATGTAGCATTTTGTAAATGTTACATGTAGTTGGTGTAGATATGCTTTTGACATTATGACTTGACAAAGTCAGAAAAGGTTATTTGCATCAGGATGAATACTGGATGATGGTTATATATGTGCCCTTTGCATCTATGTTCTCAAGTTTCTTTATGGTGACATTTACATTATTTATAGTTCATTCCTAATCTTGGCTAACTATCTAATTTCACAAACTTTGTGTATGCTTTTGATGGAAGACTCTCCTCTCCTAAACCCATCTATCTCTTTAGTGAAGAAACCTCTACTTTTCATTTCCTACTCATTAACAGCATCTTAATTAAGTAACACCTTTACCATCTGAATATTAAACTTACATTTCATCAAACTAATACACTTCAGATTAGTTCATATTACCTCTCCTGCTACCAGCACATTGGGTGTTGTTATTATTATTATTATTATTATTGCACTAAATCCATAAGGGCCATACAGCACTGACCTTGGGTCAGTGCTGTATGTGAAACAGTTCCTTACTTTCCTGCAGACTGTAAAAATCACATAAGAGGGATTTGCTTTGTTGACATTAACAGTGCTGTAGTCTGTAACTTTAGTAAACAGCTACAGTGGACCCCCGGTTAACGATTTTAATCCGTGCAAGAGGGCTCATCGTTATGCGAAATAATCGTTATGCGAATGAATTTTCCCCATAAGAAATAATGAAAATAAAATTAATCCGTGCAAGACGCCCAAAAGTATGAAAAAAATTTTTTTTTATCACATGAAATGTTAATTTTAATACACACAAACTGAAAAAGGCATGCACAATTAAATGACACTTACTTTTATTGAAGATCTGGTGATGATTGATGGGATGGGAGGAGGGGAGAGAGTGTGTTAGTGTTTAGAAGGGGAATCCCCTTCCATTAGGACTTGAGGTAGTAAGTCCTTTTCTGGGGTTACTTCCCTTCTTCTTTTAATGCCACTAGGGCCAGCTTCAGAGTCACTGGACTTCTTTCGCACAAGATATCTGTCCATAGTGGCCTGTACCTCTCGTTCCTTTATGACTTGCCTAAAGTGTTTCACAACATTGTCAGTGTAATAATCACCAGCACGGCTTGCAATAGCTGTGTGAGGGTGATTTTCATCCATGAAGGTTTGCACTTCAAGCCACTTAGCACAGATTTCCTTTATCTTTGTAGTAGGCAACTTCTTCAATTTCTCTCTCCCCTCCTCTGAACCAGTTTCCTCAGGTCTGGCCTCTTGCTCTTGAAGTTGATCTATCAGCTCATCAGTGGTTAGTTCTTCATTGTCCTCCTCCACCAACTCTTCCACATCATCCCCACTAACCTCCAACCCCAAGGACTTTCCCAATGCCACAATGGATTCCTCAACTGGCACAGGATTCTCAGGGTTAGCCTCAAACCCTTCAAAATCCCTTTTGTCTACACATTCTGGCCACAGTTTCTTCCAAGCAGAGTTCAAGGTCCTCTTTGTCACTTCCTCCCAAGCCTTACCTATAAGGTTTACACAATTGAGGATATTAAAGTGATCTCTCCAAAACTCTCTTAGAGTCAGTTGAGTTTCTGAGGTCATTACAAAGCACCTTTCAAACAGAGCTTTTGTGTACAGTTTCTTGAAGTTGGAAATAACCTGCTGGTCCATGGCTGCAGGAGAGAGTGGTATTAGGAGGCAAAAACTTCACCTTAATGAAGCTCATGTCCCCATAAAGTCGCTCTGCCACGTCTGTAGGATGACCAGGGGCATTGTCTAACACCAGGAGGCACTTAAGTTCTAATTTCTTTTCAGTTAGGTAATTTTTCACATTGGGGGCAAATGCATGGTGTAACCAGTTATAGAAAAATTCCCTAGTGACCCATGCCTTACTGTTTGCCCTCCACAGCACACACAAATTATCCTTGAGGACATTCTTTTGCCTGAACGCTCTGGGAGTTTCAGAGTGATACACTAATAAAGGCTTCACTTTGCAATCACACAGTAGCATTGCACACATCAACAAAGTAAGCCTGTCTTTCATAGGCTTATGTCCTGGGAGTGCCTTTTCTCCTGAGTAATGTAGGTCCTGCTTGGCATTTCTTCCAGAACAGGCCTGTTTCATCACAATTAAACACTTGTTCAGGTTTCAGTCCTTCAGTTTCTATGTACTCCTTGAATTCCTGCACATATTTTTCAGCCGCTTTGTGGTCCGAACTGGCAGCCTCACCATGCCTTATCACACTATGGATGCCACTACGCTTCTTAAATCTCTCAAACCAACCTTTGCTGGCCTTAAATTCACTCACATCATCACTAGTTGCAGGCATTTTTTTAATTAAATCCTCATGCAACTTCCTAGCCTTTTCACATATGATCGCTTGAGAGACGCTATCTCCTGCTATCTGTTTTTCATTTATCCACACCAATAAGAGTCTCTCAACATCTTCCATCACTTGCGATCTTTGTTTCGAAAACACAGTTGAACCTTTGGCAAGAACAGCTTCCTTGATTGTCTTTCTGGTGCCCACAATAGTAGCGATGGTTGATTGGGGTTTCTTGTACAGCTTGACTAGGTCGGCTATACGCACTCCACTTTCATACTTATCAATTACTCTTTCTTCATCTCTATAGTAATTCTTACCCTTTGAGTGTAGGGTTGGCACTAGAAGCTTTCTTGGGGCCCATGGTCACTTATTTTCCAGAAACAGCACCGAAAATACTGTAATAATACGAAATATTCCGAGTGTATGCTTGGATGTTACCGCGGAGGCTGGCTGGTAAACAATGGGACGGGGCGGCACATGTGAGGCTGGCTGAGGGCACATTGGACGCGTCTCAGACGAAAATCGGTAAGCGGGTTTTTAATCGGTATGCGCGGCAAAAATTTTGCGATAAAAGTAATCGTTATGCGGAAAAATCGCTATGTGATGCCATCGTTATGCGGGGGTCCACTGTATTCCATAAACTTTACTCTTAGCCTTGGCTTTATTTTTGTAGGTGCTTGCCTCTTTCAGTACATGTAAAATACAGTTGTTCCCTACAGATTCATGGGAGGTTGCAATCCTAGAAGACCTGCAAAAGTAGACACTGCAGATATTACAAAATATGTATCATTGAAAGCTTCTGAGCATGTTAAGAGAAGAAACAGATATTGAAGCATACATCAGTCTGCTAAATTGACAACATATTCTATATTTTTACAGCTAAAACTCAGAGGAAACTTCAAGACATCCACTCTCTAAGTATCGCCATGCTACCTGTATTGGCAGCCAAACGAGGCTTTAATGGTCGGTTTGTTAAACTTATAACCAAGACTAATTCTTTTCCTGCTTTACTTGTCTTGGATAAGACAGTAAAGGAAAATGCTACCATTATTTCTGAAAGTAAGGGTTTTAAGTTGTTTTTAGAAAAAAATAAAATATCCTGTTCACTGTACTTCTTAAATACAGTACAGTGGAACCTCAGTTTTCGTGATTAATCCATTCGAAAAGTCTGACAAAAACCAAATCATACGAAAACTGAAGCAATATTTCCAATAATAATATACAGTAAATTCAATTAATCCATTCCAGACACCCAAAAATATTAACAAAAAATACATTTTATAGTTTTACATACAGAAAACAATGAGAAATAAATATAAATGACTAATGAAATCAATAAATGAATATTTAACGTCACTTTTACCTTTATTGAAGACTCTTGTTGGCATATGGAAGACGGCAAGGAGGGGAGAGGGAGGAGGAGAGGTTATTGTTTGGAAGGGGATTCCCCTTCCATTAGAAATTCAGGTATCAAGGCCCTATCCGGGGTTACTTCCCTTCTTTGTCTTTTACTGGCACTAGGACCAGCTTCAGTGCCACTGGACCCCTGTCGCACAAAAAGTCTGTTCAGAGAGGTCTCTTACTGGCATCTCTTTAAGATTTGCCTAAAATGGGACCAGGCATTGTCATTGAACATGTTGCAGACACGGCGTGCAACAGCTTTGTTAGGGTGATATTTCTCCAGAAAACTTTGCAACTCATTCAACTTTGCACACATGTCATTAATCATTGAAGAAGGCATGCTCTTCCCTCTCTCTTCCTCCTCCTCTGAAGCAATTTCTTCAGCTGTGGTCTGTTGCTGTCCTAGTTGAAGGTCTTGCAGCTCTTCAGTGGTTAGCTCAATGAGAAACAAAGGCAGACTGAATCATGAATGCATGGGATGTTTTGTGTGGGCGTTTGATTCTGGGAAATGAATGGCAGAGTCATGCAAGCAGACGGACAAGTTTGGTACGGACCATTTTCAACTGTACGAAAACCAAGCAGATGTACGAAAAGTGGGACAAAATTTTGACGAAAAAAGTCTTTGAAAACCGAATCATATGAAAACTAGGGCATCTGAAAACTGAGGTTCCACTGTATATGCTTATTATGATATAAATTGCCCATATTTTAATAAGAATGCTTATATATTTATTGTAAATGTAATTCTTTTGTAATTGTTCTTGACTATTTTCAGGTGTTCCTTTAGATATGGACTTACATGAAGGGGATGAAGTTACTTTAACTTCAGAGTGTGTTAAGCTGTATGCAGAAGAAATTTCATTTTGTCTTCTCTCCCACAAAGAATTATGCAGCTCAGTTTCGTTCATACAGTTTTTAAAAGAACAGCTTGTGGTAAATAGTTTACTTCTTTGCACTGGTATGTGTGTTTTTATTCACTATTTAAGTCAAGAAATAGTTCTGAAAGTTCAGAATGTCAAATTGTTTGCAGTGCCAACTCCTCAGTGTTCAAAAACACCTTTTCAGTGCATTTGGCAGACACAAGTATTTGCTGAAAGTGTGACTGAATCAAACTCAATACCTATGAAGGGAATTAGTTTCGAAGATATTGGTGGCTATCAACACGAACTCCAAACACTGCACCATCAGGTTGACATGCTATTTTCTACAACTGTCACCAATGTGAAGCCAGTGAAAGGTATATTGATTAGTGGGCCCTCGGGTTGTGGGAAAAGTTTAATAGGTAAAGCCCTGAAAACGAAGTATGGCAATAAATGTGTCAGCATGCAGCTTGATGATGTGAAAAGCAAATTTCGAGGAGAAACTGAACAAAGAATGAAGCAGCTTTTTGATAAGGCTCTAAACAGGTTAGTATTTTACATTATAAACTTCTGATATACATTGATAATTTTTGCATACTACATGTACTGTACTTATAACTTAGGTATTTGTTATAATTTCTCATGTTCTTGAAGATAGTGTGAAGTTATATAATGCTTTTTTTCTACTACAATACGGTGTATTTAGGAAAGCAAGATACTGTTTACAGTGGAAATCCTCAATTTTTTTATCATTCAGACAAATGTGGATAGAAAATATTGACATGTAAGTAAAAAAAAAGTGCCAGAAAACTTCAGTTTTTTGTCTTATATTTTTTACAGATCTCCATGTCTTCTCTTCATTGATGACTTGGATATGTTGTGCAGTTCCAGAGACAAGGGTGGAGACACTGGGATAGTGACAGCACTGCTGCATCTCATGGATGGCCTTGGTACCACCAGTGAAGGTAATATATATATGTCTGGATTAGAGTGTCATGAACACTGATCGATAAAGTGACAAAACACTTAGACAGGAAAATGATAACCTCCCATGAATGGGAGGTAATCAGGTTTAATCTTAGGAAAGAGAGAATAGCTCAAATTCCTTGGATCAAGAACCCTTTACTGGCAAAAAGATATTTTTTCAACACAGGCTATCTCCCACTGAGGTAGGATGATCCAAAAAAGAAGAAACACTCTCTCCATCACTCACTGATGTTCTTCCAGATATCAGTATCTCTACCTCTTCTTCAGAGTGTTAGCACTGTATTTCCCACCTCCAGGACTCAGCTCAGGCTAACCGGTATCCCTGAATTTCTTTATAAATATTACCTGGCTTGCAGTCCATCAGCACATCAAGCCAAAAAGCCACTTGCCTCCACTCACTCCTGCCTAATATATTCACACACACACCTGTTACCCCCTCCCTCCAACATTTTCTAGGATGACTTCTACCCCTTCTTCCCTCCACTACAGATTTATGCACCCTACAAATCATCCTATTTTGCTCCGTATCTGCGTATTTCAACTTCAGTCAAAAACCCTCTTGTGTTTTAACATGACAGCATTGATTATCTCCTTCCCCCTTCCATGTCTGAAGGTTCAGGTCTACTATGAACTTCTGTTCACTCTCCATTGAACAGTTTCAATCACATTCTAAAGCTATGTAACAGACTGTTTCATATTTCCAGATGGGGTTTGTATGCAGCTGTTTATCCAAATAAAGTAATCCGAGGATGTTTACTTGAGTCAGCAGCATTTTTAGCAGCAGAGTTATATTCAATATTTACTGCTATCATGCACTTACAACCATGTGTACCTTCTTAACTGTTGTTCTTTCTGACTCCCAGAGTAATTACAAGGTATCCAGAAATTTGGCTCCACATTCCATTATATTTTGAATGCAATACAATACTTATGTTGCATCCCTGGGCACACTGATGTTCAAAGCAATGAACATGCAGACTCTGCCATTCAGTTTTCTATCCACTTCATAACAATCATCCGCAGATGGGCCTCTTTTTCCAACCATTTTTCAGCACTTTCTCTCAGCAGCTTTGAAACAGCTGGCAACATCATTGTTCCAGTTAGAGAACAACATATTGTTTTCTATCAAACCATGATTGGGTTCCTGGCTGTCTTCTTTCCATTGCTGTCAGGTATGGGAAACTATACACTCACAGTTGTGACTCAGACAAAAATGACTCCTACATGGATACCACATGGAGAGACACCCAGTGTCTCTCTGCTAGTACTGTCAGGTTGAGCTATTAGTTCACCATATCTTGTCTGTCCTATCTACCAGAGAGTATGCAGAATTTACTTTCAACTTCATAATGCACTCTGACCTTCAACACAGACTCTCTTTTTGATTTTTTAACAGAAACTAACCTATGGAACCATCTTAGACATTAATTAATTAATTTTGCACCCACATTAATTCCACACAGCAGCAATGTATGACCTGCACAAGTTTAGTGCTCCTTTTTTTAATACACAGTAATAATGATGATGTGTTGAATTTTGAAGGTTATTTTATACCAGTAGCATATCTCAATATTTTGATTGATGATTCAACAAAGAAATTATTTAAAAATACAGTACAGCCTTTCCTCACTTAACGATGGAGTTCTGTTCCTAATACTTTGTTGGTAAATAAATTCATCACTTAACAAGGAGCATACTATAATGGTAGTGGGTTTATGTCGACCATCTTTGATATTGATTTAACCCTTAAACGGTCCAAAGAGATTGACGTTCAAATTCGTAGTGCTACAAAAGTAAATCTACTTTTTTACATATTTTCAAATATAAAAAAAAAAAAATTGCAGATAAATTTTTTTTTACACTTTTTCAAATGTAAAACAAAAAAGATCTACATTTTTTTACATACTTTCAGATGTTGAAAAAACGTATATATACGTTTGGACCATTTAAGGGTTAATGTCACCCTTGCACCATTTATAACATTTTTAGTATATTTTTAAATGTTTGGACAGTAATGTACTGCATATTGTAATAAACAGAAAAGAGGAAATCAGCTCTAATATGCATTATTTAGGTATGCATACTGGTCAGAGAGGCCATCGTAAGTCCAAGTTGTTGGTAAATGAGTACATTGCTAAGAGAGGAGAGGCTGTATTATTTTTATCGATAATAGCATGTGAAGGTAAGGGATTATTTAAAAAAAGTACAAGGAAATACTTAATTGTAACCTTGAATAATAAAGGCTGGTCTTTGAGATCGTGTGATGTCCCAGGTAAAAGGGTTGCATGAAAGAGAGGACGAACATTCTCAGTGTGTGAATAGGAATGAGATAGGTCTCTAGAAGTTGAAAGCTTATGAATAATTCAAGAAGCAGTTTCTTGTATAATCAAACTTCTCTCACAGGTACAGTACTGTATCTGTCAAAATGGTATATAGTACCGACAGGTTGGTGGTATAAAAATGGTATACAATACCAACAGGTATTGATTCAACAAAGTATACAATACCGACAGGTATTTTATACCATTTTTATACCACTCTGTAAGACACTGCAAAACAATGGCATCTTGGTACAGAAGAGAAAACACCTTGGACAACTTTTTCAAGTGAGAATGGTTGGATCTGAGAGGTATGTCACCTCTTGGTGATTACATTCTCTCTTCTACTACTCTACACCTCTCCTTCTGACAGTATATAAGTCTCCACACTGTTGCTTGATCTTCACATTGTTTCAGACTATGGAACAGAACTCTTCTTCAGGCTGAGGGGCTGACAGCCTCAAATCTACGTCTTCAGGGGTAATGGACTGATTACATCGTCTTCACATCTCTTCTGCTTCTGCCTACTTTCTGTACTCGACTGAAGAAGCTTACTGCGTAGGCGAAATGTTTCGGAATAAAGATGCTTAACTGTTGCCTTTGTGTCTTACCAGTACTGTATCTGTTTCCAGTAATATACATGTATAAGTTTTTGAATATTTGTACCAGTAGGCAGAACAGTGATATGTCAATAATTACCTTGTCAAAGTTTGCTTGAGTCTTCCTAGATTTTATTTCATTACAGAATACCAGCAGAAAGTTCAAACACAAAGTATAGTACCAGTGAAAAGCATGAACGTAAAATACCAATACAAGGTACCAACACAGATCCAACACAAAGTACTAATTCAAAGTACCAACACACTGTTCCAATATATAATTAAAGATTATCTCTCATAAGTTACATTTCTGTCTGTTTCCAACCTCAAGTTGGGATTTTACACATTTTTCTCATTCTTTATTGTTAATCAACAGGCATAATCGTAATTGCTACAGCAGTAAAACCGCAGACTCTAGATGCAGCATTACGCAGACCCGGCAGACTCTCCTATGATGTGATGTTATCATCTCCTAATGAGGCTGCCAGAAGAGACATCCTTCAGAAGCTTCTTGTAAAGTATGCTACACATATTTATTTAATTAACCTCATGAGTTAAGTTGTTTTAAATCATCTTCGTTCATTGTGAATGACATGCATGGGTTTAGCTGTAAATTCTCCATTTAATCAACTAATTGGGAAAGGAGGGAGAGCGAGAGGCTGATAATGGTGATTGTGATGGATAGAGATGATATTGTTTTGCCATAATTGTAACAATACTGGACAATTCTGTAACCATTGGACTATGTCCATTATTTCCAAATCAGTTGACCCAGTGGATTTTGTCCCACATCTCCAAAGTCCATTAAATCAAAGTTTTGTAAATTGAAAGGTTACTATATTTGTGGCTACAGTATTATTATTTTTTCTTTTTTAGTAATTCTTCTTCTTTCAACACACCGGCCGTATCCCACCAAGGCGGGGTGGCCCAAAAAGAAAAACGAAAGTTTCTCTTTTTAAATTTAGTAATTTATACTGGAGAAGGGGTTACTAGGCCCTTGCTCCCGGCATTTTAGTCGCCTCTTACAACACACATGGCTGACGGAGGAAGAATTGTGTTCCACTTCTCCATGGAGATAAGAGGAAATAAACAAGAACAAAAACTAGAAGGAAAATAGAAGAAAACCCAGAGGGATGTGTATATATATGCTTCTACATGTATGTGTAGTGTGACCTAAGTGTAAGTAGAAGTTGCAAGATGTACCTGAAATCTTGCATGTTTATGAGACAGAAAAAAGACACCAGCAGTCCTACCATCATGTAAAACAATTACAGGCTTTCGTTTTACACTCGCTTGGCAGGACAGTAGTACCTCCCTGGGCGGTTGCTGTCTTCCAACCTACTACTTAGGTTTTTTAGTAATTCTACATAGAAAAAGTAACTAGCCCTGTGCTTCTGTTGGAAAAGGAGACATTACAAGAATAAGAACTGTTAAACAACAAATAAGAAATTAAAGTATATATCAAATATACATTGAAGTTTGTAATATATACCTGCTACCATAAATGTTCAGGAGACAGAGAAATGACCAACAATCCTGCCAAAGTGCAAACTTTACCAAGTTTCTGTTTCACACTCTTACTACAGGACAGTAGCACTTAATTCTGGCTAGTTACTATACTGTCGAAAACTATTGCACATAATCTGAAGTCACTGAAGGTGAGAAATGCAAAACTGTATTACCTGTCAACTTCTCTTGGGAGATTCTGAAGAGAAGTTGCAGAGATTGGTGGATGAATTTGGTAGGGTGTGCAAAAGAAGAAAATTAAAAGTGAATACAGGAAAGAGTAAGGTTATGAGGATAACAAAAAGATTAGGTGATGAAAGATTGGATATCAGATTGGAGGGAGAGAGTATGGAGGAGGTGAATGTATTCAGATATTTGGGAGTGGACGTGTCAGCGGATGGGTCTATGAAAGATGAGGTGAATCATAGAATTGATGAGGGGAAAAGGGTGAGTGGTGCACTTAGGAGTCTGTGGAGACAAAGAACTTTGTCCTTGGAGGCAAAGAGGGGAATGTATGAGAGTATAGTTTTACCAACGCTCTTATATGGGTGTGAAGCATGGGTGATGAATGTTGCAGCGAGGAGAAGGATGGAGGCAGTGGAGATGTCATGTCTGAGGGCAATGTGTGGTGTGAATATAATGCAGAGAATTCGTAGTTTGGAAGTTAGGAGGAGGTGCGGGATTACCAAAACTGTTGTCCAGAGGGCTGAGGAAGGGTTGTTGAGGTGGTTCGGACACGTAGAGAGAATGGAGAGAAACAGAGTGACTTCAAGAGTGTATCAGTCTGTAGTGGAAGGAAGGCGGGGTAGGGGTCGGCCTAGGAAAGGTTGGAGGGAGGGGGTAAAGGAGGTTTTGTGTGCGAGGGGCTTGGACTTCCAGCAGGCATGCGTGAGCGTGTTTGATAGGAGTGAATGGAGACAAATGGTTTTTAATACTTGACGTGCTGTTGGAGTGTGAGCAAAGTAACATTTATGAAGGGATTCAGGGAAACCGGCAGGCCGGACTTGAGTCCTGGAGATGGGGAGTACAGTGCCTGCACTCTGAAGGAGGGGTGTTAAATGTTTCAGTTTAAAAACTGTAGTGTAAAGCACCCTTCTGGCAAGACAGTGATGGAGTGAATGATGGTGAAAGTTTTTCTTTTTCGGGCCACCCTGCCTTGGTGGGAATCGGCCAGTGTGATAATAATAAAAAATAAAAATAACATAATTATAAAATTGATTATTTATACATGTATGTATTTACGAAAATTCTATACTGTATTACTTCCTTTCCTCTTTTTTAATTAGCAATTCAAATATAACCATTTATATATTACTTTCAGTGTGCCTAGTGATATAGAGGAAACAGACCTGGCCACTTTAGCCGCTAACGCTCATGGGTATACTGGAGGAGACTTACGAAGTATCGTAATGGAAGCAGTTATGCAAGCAGAAGGAAAGAGACTAACAAAACAAGACTTGGAAGCTTCACTGGTAGCCATAAAGCCTGCAGCACTCAGGGATTCCACAACTGTTCAGAAACAAGTAAGAAAGTTTAACCCTTTCAGGGTTTTTGATGTACTAGTATGTCTTATGCACCAGTATTTGTGATGTACTAGTAGTACATGTAAATTCTAGCACCCTCAGATCAAGCAGGAAAAGGAAGATAGGCCTAGATGTGAAAGAATTGGTCTTCGTGGTCAGTGTGCGCAGTATAAAAAAAAATCCTGCAGCACACCGTGCATAATGAGGGAAAAAATCTCCGAATTTGCAGTCTATTTTCATATGGTATTTATGGTTGTATTCTTGTTTTCATGGTCTCATTTGATAGAATGGAAGATATATTACAGAAATAGAGATAAATTTGAAAGGTTTGACGATGACAAGCACCTTGAAATTGGGCACAAAGTAGTGAAAATGTTCGATTTTTGCCAATGTTCAAGTGTAAACAAATCACGCCACACGTCCAATACATGTCAACTAGTGAGTCTAATATTCTTGCACAAGTGTGCTGATATTATTTATTTTGAAATTGGTAAATGGGCGGTTTCTTGTACTCAATCAATAGAACAAATGGAATTCTAGTGAAATAGCTATGATTTTAGTAGACTGAAACATTGGAATTGGGCGAAAACAGGGCTCAAAGTAGGCGAAACCGCTGATGCGTAAATATTGTTGAGACCACTAACTTCGTAAGAGTATCATTCCATAAGGTTTCCATCAAATTTCATACTTTTGGTGTCATTATGATTGGGAAGAGATTCTCTATCATTTCATGAGAAAAAATAATTTTTTTTTTTAATTTTTTGACCATGAGAGTGAGTTACGGATCAGGGGTCTCGACCCTGAAAGGATTAAATGATTTATTTTCTGGGAATTGTGTTTCCACATTTGTTATTAGTTAGTAGCAGTGCAGTATTGTATTCTATTAAGCAGGGCTGTTATTACTATGACAAATCATTCTACTAAAATGTACATATATTTAGCCTCTTGTATAAAAAGTGGGATTTGTATGTTTTTAGGCAAAGTATAAATGTATAAACACCATGGGCTACAAAAATGAATTACATTTTTAGAATTTATACCTGATATCTCATGACTGACTATTCAAAAAATATTTTATCATTTATTTTTTTTAATATATAAAGTCAAACACAAATAATCAATGTTGTAGTGTGCAGATGATTAGCAGTTCCTCAGAGAGGTAGTGTGAAAGGAATCCTGATTGTCAGTCTGGCCTTTATGTTTACAAAATAATACCCTGGTGTGCCAAGCCTGTATGATATGTACTGTGTCTCACAGTAATAGTACTCTTGCCTACCATACAGAATTTAATAAGAGATGATGTGATACCCTGTTAGGGGATGAGTTCGGAGACATTAAGCCTGTATTCAGATACCTTTTTATTTCTGCAATCCAGTGTTTGTACATTATCCTGTACTGTCTCAGAATTTTTTTATTGCAATTTGCATAATTATTGGTTTGCTTATTTATTTCCTTCATTATTTTATTTTGTATTTTAATGATCATGAGATTGATGCTGCAATGTTCTTTCATTTTATTATTTTTAATATATAGCTGTATCTTTCTTATAAATTTCTTTCAGGTTAAACTTTCAGATATTTGTGGCCATGATGTGATAAAATCAAAACTTCATGAATCACTTAGCCTAACACTGGCTCATGGCCCAGTGTTTCAGAAGTGCAGCATATCTCCACCATCTAGATTTCTGTTATTTGGACCCCCTGGCTGTGGGAAGTCTTTCATCATTATGGCCCTGGCTACAGAGTTCCATCTGAATGTCATCTCTGTCAAGAGGTCTACTGTACTTGGCAAATATTTTGGAGAGTCTGAACAAAATCTAGCAAATATATTCATGCAGGTAATCTTTAAATTAATATTTGGTGCATTGATAAAATTTTTTTGTAATTTCAATGTGGAGAATATCATGGTAATGTCACAGCACTTGTATTCGAGAAAGTCACTGCTGCGTATCCTATTGGTCTGCAGGAAGAAAATTATAAGCATTTTGTTTTTGCCTTCCTTCCATTATGTTATTAGTAATACAAAATGTTGTGCTTATTTTTTGACTTTTGGTATAATTTTAATTTTAATCTGCTGTTCTTAGACAGCCTGCTATCCAGGAAAAGTAGGGAATGGTGTATCTTTTCAAGGACACCTAGATAGATGGTTTCCTGAAGTTCACTCTATTCTGGAAGTCTGGAGGGTGGAAGCATATGCCTGCTATCTTGCAGTTATGTATATAGTATTAACATGTACATGTTATTAGTTTGGAGGGATATGTTGTGTATCTTTATACGTATATGCTTCTAAACTGTTGTGTTCTGAGCACCTCTGCAAAAACAGTGATTATGTGTATTACAACCCAGGATTTCAAATGGCCTGTTATCCCAAGTGTAATGGGAGCAAATAAACACAGTAGAAAAAGTTTAGACTTATATTATCCTTCACCAATTTAGAACAGCAATATGTACACTATGTACAGTGATAAATATAGTGCACTCCACGGTAAGCAAGGCAGAAATAGAAGCCACAAGATAGCAGACCGTGCTTCAACCAGCTTAGAATGGGAATGACAAGGGCAGACAGGAGAGCGGTATCCACATAACCTCTGCGATTGCCAATCCCACCTTCTTATTGGCTAGAACCTGGTCACTAGTTGAACGATGGGGCCCCATCATCAACTCTTAGCAACCTGGTTCGCTGGTTGGGGGAGATAGCCTGTAAATGAGGGTGTGTCCATGCGCCGAATAAAGGTTACGTACTCTTTGCATGCCACACCCCCACCCCCGAGAAGGCTCAGGATTAGGCTGCCACCTCCCAGTGGTAACCGTGCCGCCATGGCACGAAATAATGGGACCGCCTATCCTCTCCACCATCCAACTCTTAGATAGAGCTCAGCTTTCCTAGTGACCAAAAGCCAAACCCTAAACTCAGAGTGAGACAGCAGTCAGATAGGCCAACATAGGTCCAAGATACAAGCGGACGGTAGCCCGTATCCCCTCACTAAAAAAAACCCCCACATCAGGGATAAAAAAAAGAGCTTGAAAGGGGGGTTACCACAAATACATCCTAACCTAAATAAAATATTAAACTAGACTCTTGACAAAGAGTCTGCCAACACATTTTCTTTGCCGGCAATATAATTTATTTTTAGGTTGTAGGGCTGCAGCCTGAGCGTCCAACGCATAAGCCTTGTGTTGTGATTCTTCATGGCTTGGAGATAGACAACGGGTTGTGATCACTGTAGACTGTGACAACCCTGCGATGTCTGGCCCCCT